AAGGATAAAATGGAGGCAATTTAATTCCAAAAACAGAAAGCAATTTAACCAATTTAATTCCCAAAAAAAAAAAAAAGCCTAGTGGCCGAGCGGGGATTCGAACCCTGGACTCCTAGGCCCCACCCTGACACTCTAACCCAGGCATAGGCAGACTTGGCCCTCCCGATGTTTTGGGACTACAATTCCCATCATCCCTGACCACTGGTCCTTCTAGCTAGGGATCATGGGAGTTGTAGGCCAAAAGCATCTGGAGGGCTGAGGCTGAGGAAACCTGCTCTAACCACTACACCGCCGCTGCCTCTCAGAGAGCCAGGACTCCTGGTTCCTCATCCCTGCTGTACTGCTTCTTGGGCTTGTGCACGACCTCCCTGCATCCAGTTGATGCAATAAAGATCTGGAAGCTGGTGTTTTGAAGGGCAGGGAGCTGATTCAGAACGGTGCCAGGAGACGGCTGCTTCCCCATCCCTCTTCCTGGTAGCTTCGCAGATGGGCCCAGTGAGAGAGCGTAGCTAATCTAAGGAGAGTTTTGTGATCAGACAGCTGTTTCCTGTCTGAGGGCTTCCAGAGCCTCGGCCTCATACCAACTGCTCAGGAAAGACAGAAAGAAAACACACTGTGCCAACTTCCTGGCAGCAGGAGAGGGCTCATTTAAAGGGGATCAGCCCTAATTGGGGGGTGGGCAGAGGCGATTTTAGGGCAGCGTGATTGAATCGGCTGTACTGGGCGCCACGCTGCAGGGGGCACCACAGCAGTGCCCTGAAACAAATTCGCTCTGTTTCTATTTGCTTAAGCTCTGCTGCTGGCCCTCCCCTTGTCGGTACCAGGGGCAGAATTTGGCGTTTCAAATTTAAGCGGCGCCTTTTGCACCCGCTGCCTCTCGCGCTACGTTTCAGTCACAAAATTAAAAGACGCCTGCTTCTTGGGAGAAAAGCAATGACAAACCTAGACAGCATCTTAAAAAGCAGAGACATCACCTTGCCAACAAAGGTCCGTATAGTGAAAGCTATGGTTTTCCCAGTAGTGATGTATGGAAGTGAGAGCTGGACCATGAAGAAGGCTGATCGCTGAAGAATTGATGCTTTTGAATTCTGGTGCAGGAGGAGACTCTTGAGAGTCCCATGGACTGCAAGAGATCAAACCTCTCCATTCTGAAGGAAATCAGCCCTGAGTGCTCACTGGAAGGACAGATCCTGAAGCTGAGGCTCCTAGACTTTGGCCACCTCATGAGAAGAGAAGACTCCCTGGAAAAGACCCTGATGTTGGGAAAGATGGAGGGCACAAGGAGAAGGGGATGACAGAGGACGAGATGGTTGGACAGTGTTCTCGAAGCTACCAGCATGAGTTTGACCAAACTGCGGGAGGCAGTGGAAGACAGGAGTGCCTGGTGTGCTCTGGTCCAGGGGTCACGAAGAGTTGGACATGACTAAACGACTAAACAACAACAACAAAAGTGTAGAAATGATTACAAAGTCCAAGTTCTTACTGGATCCCCAGTAAGGCTCAAAACTTCAGCTCATGAGAGCGCATCCAGTTGTAGAAGTAAAGAACAGACAGGATAGACAGAGTGTTCAGAAAGATGCAGAGCCACTCAGTGGCAGAAGATATAGTTCCCTCCTCTGTGCATTGACCTCGAGTCCCGCACACTAACCGGAAAAAAATGGCTGCATGCATGTTTTGAAAAAGTTCTGCATCCATAAAACTCACACTCCTTGACAAGGGAGGTGAACACTCAAGGGTGTCTTCCCCTCCTGCTGTGAGAAGCTCGCTTCCCTGCTGTCTCCCAGAACCAGAAGAGGCGTGAAAAGGGCAGAGGAGAGGTTGGCTGCATGCAGGCGTAGTCTCTGATTGCTTGGGGAGGAAACCCTGGAGAGGAGGGATATAAATGCAAGAAATAAACCCTTCCGCCTACCTGCTTAAGAAAGCTGGAGGGACCAGTCAGGTGAAGATGTCAGCCACCCACCTGGCACCCAGAGATCTCCATGTGGTTGCAATTGGACCTGTGTGAGTTGCAAAGCGCACCTGGCGCCTGGGGAATTTCTAAAACTGCTCAAAGGTTAAGCCGAACGAGTGGTATAGATGGCAAACCCTTTTGAGCAAGACTGATTCCATTCATTTGAAAAATGCTAGTTTTAAAAAACCGAGTGTGTATGTTGCACCAGAGTTTAAATGCTTTGACATGCTTCTGAGCATAGCTGTCAACTTACAGATTTGAAAATAAGGGACCAGCAGCCTCGAAAATAAGGGATCAGCAGCCAAAATAAGGGCTTTTCCAAACACAGGTATGTTCAACTTCTGAGCCCCTCCGAGCCAAAGGCAGAAAGCCCAGCCAGCAGCCAAACGAAGCCTCAAGCGGTGGTTCCCACAGCACAGCAACCTGGCAAAGGGGATGCAGCAAGGAAAAACACTGTCACTTCTCCGCTGGGAAGCGCTGAGCAAAGGCGAGTCCCCAGGCAACGCAGCCGATTTGATCAGCACAAGGCATGCAAGCTCCACCCCCCAGTCATTCTTAGACTCCTTATTGGGTGAGCAACGCAGCCAAGCGACACATTGGAGCCTCCCTCCTCCCTGGCCGGCAGGGAGGGAAGGAGAGGAGCTGCTTCCTTTGAAACCCGGGAAATTTAAGGGACATCATCAATAAGGGACAGCAGCGGGACACGGCGCTGGGATAAGGGAGTTTCCCGCCAAATAAGGGACGCTTGACAGCTATGCTTCTGAAGCGCATCTCGCCGCTCCCTGTAGTGGAAAGCTGGAAGGAGCCGCTAAACGTTTCCACCGTGGGGATGTTTATGTTCCTCTTTTGAAAAATGAATCCTGGAGCCAAAGGAATCTGTCTCTCAACTCCCTCGCTGGAAATGAGCAGTTTAAAATGGGCAGCAGTCATTTTTCTCACGAAGCATTTCATATTAATCACTCCTTTATTGCGGCAGCTGAACTAGTACTGTGTGGTTCTAGCACAAGGGTTAATCTGCCTGGTTTCTCAGCTAGTCCCCCCCCCTCATTTTCTAGATTTCAGAAGAATGAGCTGCTATTACTTGAGTTAATGGGTGTAATTTTAGTTCAGGGGCGTTCCCCATTTCAATGGTAGGCAAGCTCTGATGCCAAGCTCTGATGCCTGTGTTTTACCTTCGCTGTTGGAGGCAGAATGTCTCCGTATTCCAGTTTGGGGAATCATAAATGGAGGGAACTGGGTCATCTGGTTGGCCACTGTGAGAACAGGATGCTGGGCTAGATTTGGGGGTTAGATTAGATGACCCCCGAGTACCCTTCCGCCTCTGCAATTCATTCCCCCCCCAATAATGTTTATTAAATTTCATACAAAAACCAAACTTTAA